GCTGACTTTTTCATCCGAAACAGCAAAGTCCAAAGACACCTCATGTCCTTGTACCTTGCACCTTGTGTGTGTGTGTGTGTTTCCTTCCTTTTTTTTTGTTCGGTGGTATTTATCTAGGTTACATGCTTTGAGTGTGTTTGTGGTTGCGTACATGTTTTATTATTGTGAGAGTTGGATGTACTGTAACAAGTACTGTACTGCACAATATAGCCAGGGTTTGACAAGATAAGAGCATTGCAGCATTTTGTGCGTGCGTGCGTGCGTGCGTGCGTGCGTGCGTGCGTGCGTGCGTGCGTGCGTGCGTGCGTGCGTGCGTGCGTGCGTGCGTGCGTGCGTGCGTGCGTGCGTGCGTGCGTGCGTGCGTGCGTGCGTGCGTGCGTGCGTGTGTGCGTGTGTGCGTGTGTGTGTGTGTGTGTGTGTGTGTGTGAGAGAGAGAGAGAGAGAGAGAGAGAGAGGGATGAGAGAGGCTGACTCATTGACTCTTTGCTGCTCAGTGCTTGTTCATGCAAATGAGAGTCTGTTGACATGCAGAGTCTGCTCACAAAAGACAATCCATTAGCTGTCTGTTCCACCTCTCGATATCCTCCTCTCTCTCTCTCTCTCTCTCTCTCTCTGTCTTTCGTACCTTTCTTCTATTTTTCAAGTCCAGTGCGTCTCCTTCTTCTTGTGTGCGTCTCTCTCTTTTCTCCCCCTCTCCTTACTCCCCCTCTCTTTCTGCCTCTATTTCCATCTCTGGCCGTTTCCCCTCCCTCCTCTCCCCCTTTCATCTACCTTCAGCTCCCTGTTGCCTGTGGCGACAGTAACCTGAATCTGTACATTTGGATAATCTGTAATCTGTGAAATGTGCGCATCACAGTGTGTGCTGCTGCTCACTTCTTACGATTACAAGGCACAAAAAAATTTACACAGACTTGTGCATTACGGCACAAACCTCAAGCATGCATAAACACAAAATACACAAACTAGGAATCATATGGGAGAAAAGAAATTCACAATGCTTCAGGACAGCGATCAATAATACTTACAGTAGGTTTGATCATAATAAAAATTTGCTTTAGTGTAATTTGATAAAGAAAGGAAAAAAAAGAACTGTTAGGTCAGTTCCCTGCTGACCTGTCAAGCTTTGGAAAACCAGTTGATGCTGAATTAGATGCCTTGTTTTGGTGTTGTTTAAGTGGATACAGTATTTGTGTGAACAAAGTTCTAATCTTAATTTTCACTTGTTAATTTCATTACAAACAGTACCAATATAGGGTTTAAATGCTCGATACTATGTGTATCTAGTAGTTTTGTGCAGAAAAAATATTGATGAAACTTGTTTTTTTTAACCAGGCTACCAAGGACATAAAGGATATAATGGTTTTCTTTTTACTGCACAAGCTGTCAATACAAGATGTTTTCATGTCCTGATATGTAGCATTATTAACATTCTAACAAGCAGCTTATCTGTGAAGATTTCTCATAGTTACAAAAACATGTTAAACATGTTATCTCCTGGGGCGTCGTGTAGCGTAGTGGTTTAAGCAGGCGCCCCATGTGTAGAGGCTACAGTCCTCGCTGCAGTCGGCCCCGGTTCGAATCCCGCATCGGACGGCCTTTCACTGCATGTCATTCCCCCTCTCTCTGCCTCCCCGTTTCCTGTCACTCTCCACTGTGCTGTCCATTAAAGGCATAAAAGCCCAAAAAAAATTACTTAAAAAAAAAAAAAAAAAACATGTTATCTCCTTGTGGTGACAATGCAGTGACCTTGAACAAGTGTGCAGTGTAAATGTGTAATAACCTGCTATAATAATGATAATCACCACTACATACTGGACTGGGACACAGCAACTGGCCTCTTCTCGCAGTTTGCTGTGTTTTATAAAAAAAAAAAAAATTTACATGACTTCTTTATGGCCTCCCTCAAGATCAGTCAAACCTGCTTGTTGTATTTTTGTTTCTTTCTGAATGTTTTTATCATGTTTTTACCATCTCATCGGGATTTCATCACGTCTACAGTGCTACTATCTCTAAATAGTTTTACCCATTCTCTTCCAGAGAATTCTCTTCTTTTCATCCAGCCTTCTTCAACTCACTTTCTCTGTCTCCCGTCTGTCTGTGTTGCTTTCTTTTTCCTAGCCACAATCCTTTTGCCCTTCCTTCACTCACCTCCTCCTTCTCAGCGCTGAGATGACAGAGATGCAGGCAGAAGGAGAGGAGAGTGCTGAGTTAAACAGAGACGCACAACTAGGCCAACACAACTGCCTCCAGGGATGTGCGAATGTGTGTGCCCATGTTTGTATCCATGCGTGTGTGTGTGTGTGTGTGTGTGTGTGTGGCAGAGAAAGACAGAAAATGAGAGTGATAGAGAAACAGAGACAGACACAGAGAGTAAGGTAGTGAGACACTGGTATAATTACACCTACTGTACATGATCAAAAAAGCCACAACAACAGCTGTTGGATAAAAATTCAAAACCTTCATTTTGTAGCAGTAAAGCAGTAAAACACTTACAGGAAAACAAAACAGCACAACATTCAAGAGGAGACGCAGGATGATTTAATGAAGTCGCTGGCCTCTGGCAGGATCCGTCTCCTGATGCTGCGATGCAGGGCAATCCACATTGGAGGCATTACAGTTCACACAGGACACTGACTAAGTCTGGACTTCATAGTGTAGTGACCTTTGCTTTAAGCTTGACCTCATGAGGCATTATAAGTAAGTTTATATTAAGTAAGAGTGCACCTACAGTTGTGATTTTTCATGGGAATTGCAAGTTGCACTAGCTGCACAATCTTTATTATTGCTCATACTGCTACTACTGTAAAAAAAAAAGACTTGTAACAAATAATTAAAAGTACCTAACCTGTAACTGTAGCAATCTCATTCCACAACATGTCACATTTATGTTGCCATCAGATAAACACGCTGAATGTACAAATGAGATAGTCCTCCTGATAGTGAGCTGCAACCCATTTTCTACAATCTATGAATCAGTACTTTCAAAGAATAAAACAAACCACTCTCCATTGTTACCTCTGCCAAGGAGGTTGTGTTTTCAACCATGTCTGTTTGTTATTTGTTCAGAAAGTACTGAACTGATTTGAACCAAACTTGGTGGATAGAAGGGACATGATCCAAGGAAGAACCCGTTAAATGTTGGTTCTGCCGTCTATTTCTTAGGAAATAATGTATGGATCTTGATGTAAAAAAAATAGACATATTTATGGTGTTGACATCTATGATTTTGTACAATGTGGAGCAGATCCAGATAATAACCTAGTTCTGACAGACATATGTAGGATTGTTTGGCCCTCGATCCTGTAACAACTTTACAGCTCTTATTTTCATCATTCTTACCATTATTAATATCATTATACACTAAGGTAATGGCTGAGATGGAAATGGTGAAACAAAGTCATACAGTGAAACTAGTAAAGCCCTATGATGAACAGTCAGACTTAACTTGAAGCATATTTACTTGTTTCCAGATCTTAGTAATTACTGTGAGTACACTTTTGTCATAAATGATGGCCAAAATGACAAAAATTACATCAAAGTTTTATTAAATCGCAATTTTTCTTTAATGTGGGGGATCAATTTGTAATTTCAGCTTTACCTGAAACCACCTTATTGTTTAAAGAGTAAACTTCTAATATTTTGTTTATTGAGTTCATAGACATGAGAAACAGAGTAGAGGCGACAGAGAGAGTAGTACATTTGTACAAGCAGCATTGGAGTCTTTTATTCATTTTGCATCTGGCTTCCCTTTTACAGTCTCCATGGAGATGGTTGATAGTAAGCTCACGTTCTTCCATATAGATAATATATATATATATATATATATGTATATACATACACGGTATATATACTAAATCACACCAAGTTGTGTTTCAGGGGATGGGTGTGTTTTGAACTTGGACCCTCTGGATTGTAGGCTGCATATGTGTATATGTTTGCATGTGTGTTTATATATATGTATGTCAGTGTTTCTGAGAAACAGATAGTCAGAGGCAGTGTGTGTGTCTCCCTGCTGGATGTATTGTGTGTTTTGTGTGTAGGGAAATACTGTGTGTGTGTGTGTGTGTGTGTGTGTGTGTGTGTGTGTGTGTGTGTGTGTGTAGATGTAGACTGTATGCATTATGCAGACCTAGGAGAGCCTTGTGCTATAAATAAAACAGGGCTGCAGTGTGTTCACTGGCGGAATAATCTATCTGACACTATGGAGAAAAAGAGAGAGAGCAGGAATGGGGGAGACAGGAAGAAGAGGAGCTTGGAGAGAGAGAGGGGCAGGAATGTAAGACAGGTGAAGATGGAGGGAGAAGGGAAAAGAGAAACTAAAGAAAAGAAAGGAACAGCGGCAAGGACCTAGCGAGAGAGAGAGAGAGAGAGAGAGAGAGAGAGAAATTGTGCTGAGGGAAAAGGAGAGCAGTGGCTTATCCACAGGGCCTCAAGCAGAGGTAGTTAGCACTGTGAAACAGCCAAGAGTCATATTCGAACGGGCAGTAATGTCTTTCCTCAACATCTCCTTGGGTAAAATGCCAGCCATGCCCATTTCAATCTCTCTCTTCTATATCTGCCAGGAATAAGAGGTAGTCTTGTTTTGTTTGTGCTCCTCACACCTGTGTTGAGCGGGCCCTGCACATATTTGTTATCATGTGTAAGTGCTTGTGAGCAAAATGTCAAGAAGCTAGTGAAACAAATTCTTATTCATATTTTGCAGATACTATTGGCAATAATGCTACAATTGTTTGTTTGACCTGCTTGTTGGTGTTCATTCAAAAATAGCACGCCTTCTGACAAAAATAGCTGTACTTCAGCTGACAGGTTTGCTTCTTCATTTGTTTTATACCCACTCAAATACTTGTTCAAGGAGATTTGGATGGATTGTCTCCCTAATATCTAGGTCAGCAGTTTACCCAGTTTTTACAGGCTCTGTCCATACAGGTCAGCATGCATAATATATTAGACCTGGCCTTTAATTTACCTTTTCTTTCCCATTTGATCGCTCTCCCTGCCAGGTCATGGAACTGAAGGGTCAGATGATCCACGTTCCCGAGTCCTGCTCCCTGATGTTTCTGGGCTCACCACGTGTTGATAAGTTGGAGGAGCTGATGGGCAGGGGCCTCCACCTGTCAGATATCCCCATCCATGATGCTACGCGGGATGTTATCCTAGTGGGGGAGCAGGCCAAGGCCCAGGATGGCCTGAAGAAGAGAATGGACAAACTTAAGGTAGAATGGTCGATTGTTAAATCGGTGTCTTTCCGTATTTACAGATAAGAAAATTTCAGTTCATTGGACCAGTTTTTCATTGTGAAAAAATAGGCTTGTCAATAACTGGCTATTTGACCAGCATAAATAAGCACTAGCTTGTGTCACAGCACAGGTAGTACTGGTAAAATGATTTACCAGTGTAATTGTAAGGTCTACAAGATTTTATTACCACTAAGCTTTACCAGCTACTAACAGGCCACAACATACACCGAATGCTCCTCAGCATCCTCTTGTTGTGTTGCCAATCATGCCTGGAGCTCTGCAGTGGTTCAGCTCATAGGTTAAGAGCAGATGCAGACAGAAATCAAACCAAATACTTAGAGGATGAGTGATAACAGTCATGGTCCATTGAGATCTATGGTGAGAACCTGTGACCATGACACTAAAATAGTGAAAATACACAAAAATGTGTGTCAGTATGTTTTGCAGGTGTTTATTTTAGTTTTCCATCATGTGCGAGACCACTCACCGATGGTAAATCCATTCTGGCTGAAGAGATTGTGACTCCTGGGACTTGTTCTTATAATTGTCTTTCAAAGTACCATTGAGCAAGTCACTGAGTCTTGACCCAGTCCTGTGCATCTGCTCGCTGCATCACTCCCTCACTGCAGCTACTCCCCCAGGCCACTGTTAAAAATAGCGATATCTTAGTCGACATGCCTGCTTGAACAATGGTATAGCACCACAGCAGACAGACTTTGCATTAAGAAGCTCACCCGCGGACACAAATAAGCATATGCAGATGCACACAATCAAAAAAAAAATCAAACTAATACACAAATTCTTTCGCACACACCAGCAGTTTAAGTTTGGTGCAGTACTCCCACATCTCAGCATCGTTGTCATCAACGCAAAACACACTGAACAAAACCTCTTAATCTCCTTCTCTTCTCTCCTCCCCCAGGCCACATTAGAACGGACTCACCAGGCACTGGAAGAGGAAAAGAGGAGAACCGTGGATCTCCTTTACTCCATATTTCCAGGTGATGTGGCACAGAAACTGTGGCAGGGTCAACCGGTGCCCGCTCGCAAATTCGATGACGTCACCATGCTGTTCTCAGACATCGTGGGCTTTACTGCTGTGTGCGCCCAGTGCACACCTATGCAGGTTATCTCCATGCTGAACGAGCTTTACACACGCTTCGACTACCAGTGTGGCATTCTGGATGTTTATAAGGTCAGTAGACGGAAAGATGCACACATTTGCTTATGTGATGCAGTAATACCTGTTGACATGGGGAGGTTTTCTAGACTGTGAAACAAGCTGGGATTGCCTCAAAAAAATGTAATAGCTTTATTGGTTCATGTGGAAACCTGTGCAGACTGTCATCATCAAAGATTAATTGTATTTCCAGGAAGTGACAGTGTCCCACCCCTCATTACTTGGGGTCTTTAAAGTGTTAGCACTTCAGTTAGATTGTGTGTGTGTGTGTGTGTGTGTGTGTGTGTGTGTGTGTGTGTGTGTGTGTGTGTGTGTTGTGGAAAAAGTAACTGATTAATGGCCCGTCTGTGGGAGCTTAACAAAGATGTGTCAATATTGTCCATCTGACAGTGTGGCTTTGGGCCTAGTTACAGTCATCACTGTTGTCTGCTGTCTTTCCCCCTCTTCATCCTTACCTTCTACCATCAGATCACTTTTTCCTCTTCACTCTTTCCGCACTTGCTTCTCTCTGTCGTCACCTTTGCCAGCATCTTTCCTCTCTATCTCATTACCTTAGTCCCTGTGACGACAACATACTTGTCACTTTCCCATAAAAACATGCTTTTCCTCAGTGTTTTCTCTCAAGGATGTATCAGATGTCTGGAGAAAAGGAGGAAGAGATGCAGATAGGCAGACAGATTGACTGTATGTAAGAGGATTTATGTGTATAGCTGTGGAAGAGTGAGTGAGTGAGTGTGTGTGTGTGTGTGTGTGTGTGTGTGTGTGTGTGTGTGTGTGTGTGTGTGTGTGTGTGTGTGTGTGTGTGTATGAGAAAACAGAAACAGGAGGACATGGCGAGAAGATTGAGGCACCCATATGTTACCATTGTCATGGTTACTGTCGAAATGATTTAGCTGGAGGCAGGCCTAAATGAGAGCAGTTTGTCTCCTAGTTTTTCTTTTTCCCTCCCTTTCTCCCCCTGTGCCTTCTGTTTTTTTCTTTATAAAGACTGTGTCAACTGTCATGTCACCTAGCTCACTCGTTCACCTGGAAGTGAAAGTGGTACTCATTGTTTGCTTCATTCACATTTGCTAATTTGGCTTCGGGAAGTAATTTCTTAAAACAAGGAAGATTTCCTACAACTGTAATCTCTGGGATAGTAAGCCCAACAAGTACTAGGAATGACTTATCTTCATGTCTTAAATCTTAGTTCATGTATGCAGCTATTGTTTACTGTCATGTACAAGAATATGTATTGAGAATAAAGCATCCCTTAGTGTTGTAGCCAATCAATAATATGGAAACACAGCTATTCACCACAGAGGTAGAATTTCCAACATTTTTTCTCAGCTGTCAGCTGTATTTCCACAAATATGTTTGAAAGGAATAGATACAAAAAAGACAGTTTTTGGTGGGAACTAGTGTTTTTCATAATGACCCACTAAACTGTTAACCACCAATAAGAATTTTGACTGATTAATACTATAATTTAAACAGTTAAAATATCCTGGGAGATCAGTACCCTCTGAGCAACCACTGGGAGATTGTGTGAGCATTTCACTGGCAATTTTGGGTTCTATATGTGACAATATATGGTAAAGGCGAAGCGCCATTTCAGTAAACCTCGGTATGGGTGATGTAGGGGATGTTCTGCAAATTGGCAATTTTTTTATGGTTAGGTTTTTTTGACTTCTCAGACTGGGTCAGAAGCAGCACAAGGCGTCAGAAGTGGCTTTACCAAGGTCCTCTCCAAACACTCACTAACTCTGATGTGAATGATGTAGGCCAAGAGAGAGAAACAGACAGATACTGTAGTTCTCATATTACAAGAGGAGTGAAAGAGTGCTTTTAATTTCTGTTCCTCAGTGGAGATGGCATGAGTTGTTCAATTGCTACTTAGTTTCACACGTCAGCATTATATTCACAACCGCACTTATTAATTTAATTTCCACCCCTCCTCCACCATTTCTCATACAGATCGAGACAATAGGTGATGCCTACTGTGTGGCAGGAGGACTTCACAAGAAGGTTGATAGTCATGCGAGGCCAATTGCACACATGGCTTTGAAGATGATGGAACTTTCCGAAGAAGTGCTGACACCTGATGGAAAACCTATCAAGGTGAGTTTTCATTCATTCCCCACGATGCAGTGTCTGAGGCAGGTCTAACTGGCATAAGGCTGGCTGGGTAGTGACAAAGGTCTGTGAGATTTCTCTTTATTCTTTAAAGCTGCTGTGATCATTGAGAGAAACATGCAGGGACGTTAGAGCCACCCTGAACCTGCCAATTTTGGAGCCTTCATGGGAATCTGCTCTAAAAAGCCTGATGGCTATTTTTGTAACACCTCTCTGCTGTCAGCACACAGAAACTAGCTTATACTGTCTCCCTGTTTTTTTGCAGTGTTTTCTTCATCTGTGCTTACATTCCATTTCATATTCCTGCATTTCTCCCTTCCTGTATTTAACATGTTTACCCAATCCTTCCTGATCCCATGATGACACTGCTGTAACACATTTAGATTATATGTGTAGGAAACTTACTTGTGTTATGGGGTGGCCGTTTCAGATGCTCCTACAAATATTGTCAACAATTATTCGGCGTTTCCCTACTGTTTCTTTGATGAAAAATATCTGGCATATGTAGCTCATTATTAAACACCACTCTGTGTTTTCTCAGGGAAAACCTGATTCAGAGCCAGATTAAAAAGTATTGAAATGTTTTACATTAATAAAAATAGCAAAGTGTTGAGCTGCACTCTCTAAGTGCTTAGTTAGTGATTAAAATTTTTCATCAGCGACTTAGTGTTTAGGGATTACAACTTATTAACAGACTGATTAAAATGTTCAAAACCTTTTGGAACAACAACAGGGGTATTTATATGCAGTGCACATTTTACTGAGCATTCAACACAAAACCACATGCTGTAATTCCACTTTAAATGTGACTTGTGAATTGTCATCCCAGTGTTTGGACTTGCATGACAAAACCCAGAAAACTCTCAGTACTATAATCAATCTTTTATTTTATTTTTAATAAAGTAAATTGCATTTCCTGTAGTGTTAAGGGTTAAGGTAGGAGAATAGATGAATATAATGGTAAGAGATGCTGTGTAACAGAATAGTTATTTTAGTCTTGGGTGCTAATGGTTCATGGAGTGTGTTTTCATGAAATGAGGCAAGAGACATGGTGCACCTTAATAGTGTGTGTCTGTGTTTGAGTTACACTCATTTTCTACCAGCCAGCTGCATGTGCCATTCAACAAGAAACACTATAAAATCAACAGTAGGTCTACACACAGCATGCTGCCGTGTTTGTCTCCATGGATGTTTCTTAATGTACATGCATTTGTGTTTACAGTGGACACATGCTTATATGTGCCTATGTGTGCTGAGTGGGTGTATGTATGTGATGTTGTGTGCTATTTACTGTATGTACCATAAGTTTCTGATCGTGGTGTGTGTGTGTGTGTGTGTGTGTGTGTATGTGTGTGTGTTGGTTGTCAGCTGTCTAAGCTTTGTTACTCTAGTCTACTCTCTCTCCATCTCTCTCTCTTCCTCTCTCTGCGTCACTCAATTCTTTTTCTTAATTTTGTACTTATTTTCTTCCTCTTTCTCCATTTTGCACTGTATAAAGATGAGATATGATGACATGGTTTCGCTGTGCTTACAGTGTATTCACCTTACTCAACCTCCCAATGGTTGCTTGACATTGTTGCAGGAAACACATTTTCTAATGGTTTACTCTTTTCTGTAGTTTATGTTTTGTGTTGCACATAAATTTGCTGTATTTTACTCTGGACCTGGACAGTATACAATATAACAAGCTCCTCTTGGTTTATCTTATTTTTACCATCATGGTTTATTTTTGCGTGTTGGCAATGGGACACGTAAATCGCTTATGTTATGTTAAGTTTTAACAGTAGAACTGTCTGTTTTTCATCACATGCATTGTAGCTGGTCCTGTGAGTGTGGAGTCCACCTTCAGCAGGTACTATCATTGTAGAGACAAAATTAACACAAAATCAATGTCAGTTGTGGAATTGCATTTAACAATAATTTATGTATTTATGGAGTAATGGTTGATATAACATATGATATCTAGTTAAAAACCAACTGAATGGTGTATGACTTCAGAGAGAGAGCCAGAGAAAAGATGATTAAGTATGGAGAGAAGGCAAGAGACTCAACTGAATTTAAATCTCTCCTGCTAATTCAGTAAAATGAAAAGGGGACACAGGATATCATTTATTTATGTCTATCCTCAGTTCAGTCTCTGTCATGGTCACCCATGATTCTCAGGTTGCCTTGGCAGCTTTGCAGGCCAGGGTGCTTACTTGCAATGATATAAATATGAATCAAAGTCATACAAGAAATTGCATTTTAGTTCTGGTTCGGCACAGATCATTTATGAAACAGAACCCACAGGTGAAACAATGAAAGACATTTGGAACGGTTTCATTGTTGTCATGCTCTGTCTTACGGTGGAAAACTCCGTTGAAATAGAAGTAGCTTCTAGTAAGTTCTCTGATTACTTCTGTTTGAGTAACATTAGATAAAAACTACAATGGTCTGTTGTTTAAGGAAATGAATTTTTTTTAAAGAAAGAAGAAGAAACTGTATATTTAAAAAGAAAGAAGAAGAAACTGTATATTTGTTACTTGTTTTTATATTTACAGAAGCATGAAATGGGCTTGGAGCTGAATGTCTTAGACAAGATGATTTAGAAAGTGTTAAGACATTGTTCAAGATGTTGCTTTTGGTCTTTTCATGAAATTTGTTGATAATGAGACAAATGATGTTTTTTGCTATTGAGCACATTTGGTTTTGACTTGTATAAAAATATGAATAGAGAATGACACAGACTGGAACAAAATGTGAGCGAGAGGCTGAGACAGATAGCTGCTGAATAACAGTCATGACACTGTTCTGTGTACTGCTGTGCTCCCAACATTGTCCATTCGTCTCAAAATAGAAAGGCCTTGCCAAGCGTTTTTGGCCTGCTCTCTTGCTCTTCCACTTTCTCTCTTTTTTTTTCCTCTACCCCTCTATCCCCCCTTCCCCCTGTCCTCTCCTCCCTCACTCTTTCCTCTGCAGCCTCTCTCCAACCCACCCCTTTCATTTTCCTCCGCAGTTTCTTACTCGATTTTTCTCCCACTCTTTATTCTTGTACTGTTTTTATATACATTGCGATCTCTGTTATGCTCTCTTCTTTCTTATCTCTCTTCACTTCATGTTGGTATAAAGGAGAGTTATAGGGATTCAACACTTCAGCATGATAAATGCTGGTCAGTGAGTGCACTCAGCTCCAGCCAGTGTTGCACTGTTATGCAAACTAGCATGAGAGCTGTGAGAGAGAACTGAGAGAAACTGTTTAGCGGGAGAGAAACAGAGTGATCCAGGGACACAGAGATAAATATACAGAAGAGTTAGATGTCAAGAGAGAAACACATATACAAACCAAAAACTGTTAGTTGTTTTCATTTTTATAATACTGCTTCAATTTGAGGCTTGTAGCATGATCTTTGCATCTGTGTGTGCTTGTGTGTATGAGTGGGTGTATGAGTAGGTGAGTGGGTGTCGATATCAGGGACATGGTGCTAATATTGTTATGGTTTTCTTACCATAATAACCTTTGTAAAAACTATAGCATCCTCTATACGTGCTCTTTTCTAGACCCTCTGCATGCAGTGTTAGCTGCAGAGTCTTGTATTTGAGAGGTGAGAACCAGCATTTATGACAATTTTAATTGAAAACCGTAAAACGACTTTTCCCTTTGACAAAATTCTACCAATGCTTTTGTGTGTGTTATAATTTGTTTACAACAGCTTAAGTACATTTAGCTAAACTTAATGCAGTCTGATACAACAGTACTGCAATAAATCCTACCTTGATGAAGGTTATGAAGGTATATTATTGAGGCGTGCTGAATCGTTTAAATCACTACTCAAAACATACTTGTATAAAGCAGCTTTTAATTCTTGATTTCAATGCTTTCATCTTTGGTTTTTATTTTGATTTTTACTTTTGGTTTTTATTTTATTTTGTCTGTTTTATTGATTTTTTTGTTTTAACATAACATATTTATAATTCTCCCTGTCATACTTGCCTTAATACTTGACACTTTGCCTCTCTTCTCTGTGTGTTTTATTGCTTTGTTTTGTTTCTCTGTATGTACAGCACTGTGTAACTCTGTTTTAATTAAGTTATTATGATTATGATTATGATTATGATTAAGATTATGATTATTATGGTTATTATTATAATCATTATTATTATTATTATTATTATTATTTTTTTTTTATTATTTTATTTTTTTTATTTATTTTTTTTATTATTATTATGTTCAGTTTGCGTTGTATGGGCAGGTGTTTTGTCCACCTCATTTAGCTTGATGAGAGTTTGTATCTCTCTGCATAATGTAATACTGTTCATCAGTAGCACAAACTACATCTTGCAAAATGACCACACAGACTGTTGTATTGCCCACCTTAGTTTTAGCTCGGTATACCTAATAAACTGGTACCTGACACTGACTCTTTAACAACTCCTTCCTCTCTTGGTTTCAGTCTATCTCCATCCCTGTATACCTTTGTCAGCTTGGCCTGAGGCTAGAATGCGATTGGTTGTCTGTGCTGCCACGGCGCTTGCTCATTGGCTCGCTGAGGGCCATGTGCTGTGGATGCTGACTCACAGCAAAAAGGAGGGGAGGAGTGTATGAGTGTTACTGTGTCTGTGTTTTGAGACTAAGAAATAAAGAGGAGAGTGGGCGCTGGATACAGATTTGTTTGTGTGTGTCTGTGAGTGGTTGTCTGTTGTAGAGACAGACAGACAGACAAGTCTATGGCCATCTGTAAGAAGGATAACTGAAAAATAGGTCACAGTAGTGCACCTATCAGCCCGTTCGCTCTCGCTTTCTGTCTCTCGTTTTCTTTATCTCTCCTCCGGTGGTGTCAAGATTTTGCCATCTAATTATACATTTATTTTTGCCTCTCTCTTTCTCTCGCTCTCTCTCATTCTCTCTCTGTCTGTCTTTCTCTCTCTCTTTCTCCATTGTCTTCCTTTCTGTCTTTCTGTCTGTCTGTGCTCTTTCTACCTCACTACCCCATCGCCTGTTGTTGCCATGACTACCTTGCAGTGTGCTGGCATGCACATAGTGGCGTTGGTTACCAAGGTGATGAGATGCTCAAGTAGATCATTAGAAATCTACTGGGTTCCACTGGCTTTTGTGTGTGCATATTATATGTGTATGTGTGTGTGTGTGTGTGTGTGTATGTTTGTGATGATCCAAGTGGAAGAAATCAATAGTTGGTCGAGTGGACATGAAGTGGGATGGTCAAACTGGAATGATGGCTAGATAGCTTTCACTCTGCCTCCAGCCATTTATAGATTCATATTTCAGCCAGACTATAATATGAGCACCATGTTGCTGTCCTATATTCGTTACCAAGAGGAGATGAAAGCAATTATTTATTTGATCAATTTCCTATTCTCACCCTTGCTATTTTAGGACTTTCAACACTGAAAATCTGCCACCACAGGATATCAGATTAGATAAGAACAGCTCCACAAATTTATAAGTATGATTGCTGCGGTACATTTTTCACTTAGTGGATCAATGCACTTCTGGTTCTGCAGAGGATGGCCTTAATGCCGCAGGATAGGCAGCACGTGAATGAATAGACATTAGTTCCGCAGGGAGATCTAATTCAATAACATTCACAACATTGTCGGGTATGTTGTCGTAGCACAGGTCATCTTACATGCCGGGATGGATTAAAGTCATGCACAAAACACGGCTAATCTTTTCAGCTCCAGGTCAAACTTTGACTAGCATGGCTACATACCAGCCAAGCTGCATGCACATACATTGTAAAGAAATTAATAAAAACACAGATTTTAGTAAAGACACAACATCAGCTCCGATTGTCAGGCCAGTTGCCTTTGCCTTTTCAAGGAATATACATGAAACACTATTTAGACTCTTTGCCCTTTTTGAGTCCTGTTGATTATGTTATTACCCTAATCTCTCTTTCTCCCTTCTAATTCTCCACAATCGTCTCCCACCACCTTCCTCCTCCTCCCTTTCTCTCCTAGCTAAGGATAGGAATCCACACGGGCTCAGTGCTGGCAGGAGTGGTCGGGGTTAAAATGCCACGTTATTGCCTGTTCGGGAACAATGTGACACTGGCCAGCAAGTTTGAATCAGGGAGCCATCCGAGGTGTATCAATGTTAGTCCCACAACTTACCAGTAAGTGACTGCAGTATGCATACAAATATACAGACTGTATATAATTATGTGTACATCACTTGATATTAGAAATTTCTGTGATCACCCCTGACTTTGCATAGCACTCCAACTGTGTGTGTGTGTGTGTGTGTGTGTGTGTGTGTGTGTGTGTGTGTGCACGTCTCATGACTACTTATGTTTGCTGTAATGGATCTTGTCTCATTTTATCTAATTTTCTCTGTTTATTTTTTCAACCTTATTCTTTAATAACATTTCTTCTCTTCTCTTCTCTTCTCTTCTCTTCTCTTCTCTTCTCTTCTCTTCTCTTCTCTTCTCTTCTCAACAGGTTGCTGAAAGATGACCGTTCTTTTTCATTTGTACCTCGTTCACGACTGGAGCTCCCTGAGAATTTTCCCAAAGAGATCCCAGGGACATGTTACTTCCTGGAGGCAGGGACGTCTCACAGTCATGCCTCGCTGACCAGCTCTCGCTCCGCTCCCCCGGCCTCTATGAGGAAAGTCTCCTACAGCATTGGGACCATGTTTCTAAGAGAAACAAGTTTGTAGGTCCCATACACAGACTAGGATGCACAGGTACATATTCATTAAGTGAGAGGCTGGATTTGAACCTGGGGAACATGCAGGGAAACGATCACTCGGATCTTTGGATATGCAAATGCATTATGTGAAAACTTGGATTCAGGCCTGTGGGATGGCCTGTATCAATCAAATTTGAAAAACAAAAATGCTTTCATCACAGGTGTAAAAGAACAACATGCCCTCATCTCCCCTGTGCAAGGAGGATATGGTTCAAAAGACCTGAGGAACAGCAACTGTCCTAGTCTCACATGGACCCTTCCCCAAGGAAGTGTACTGTTGGGGCAATTAGTCGAGAAATCTTAATTTAAAACTTAATATCTAGCTGGATTCCTCAGCTCTGTACCTGGTGTCCAGCTCTCTCAAGTGGTCCTCTCTCCCAAAGGGCACCCTGACCTGGGTTTAGAGGCAACAATGCTTGGAGCAAACCTGGAGAGAGACCATTTACACGACCAGTGTTGCACTCATTAGCAATGGAATTGCGCAAATAGAACAAATCCACTTTCCATTAACAAAGTGGATGCTGAGGAATGAAGTTGTATGAACTTTTGAAAGATGGCAACATTGACGCAAATGTTTGCTGTGCATCATGGCCTCTTGTACACGGAAGACCACTACTGAAGAACAATACAACTCCCCCTTCCTCCCCTTCCAACTGTCCCAAAATCACATCATGCTTTACTAAACATCTGATGCTTGTTACATTCATACATCAAGTCTAGGACCAGTTGGGGTGGGGAGAGATAAATGAGAGGCACAGATAAGGTTTGAAAAGGGGTCATTTTAGGACAAATGCCAAAAATGCTAAGCTGATCTTAGAGCCTTTCCTGCTTCTAACCCACAGCAAACTATAACCAACAACAATCCAGCCATTTCATTGCAGGTAATATGTTTAGGACTGAAAATTATTCCCAGCTCAGTGCCTTTTTACTGCTCAAATCAGGACAAATACAAGATGGATTCATTTTAAATATTTGAAAAAAAAGAAAAAGAGCGCTTCATTTATCTTATGTCTCCACTTGTTTGAAGACATTTCTGTGCCATTATCTACACTAGAGAGTGAAGGATTTGAATGAGGAAATGACATGTGCCAAAGTTTATAAGCCACATTTGAACCCAGGATCCTGCAAGTCAGGGGAACCTTATCCCAGCGAGCCGCCCGCAGTACCGACTAGTTGTGTACTTCATTTTGAGACAGTCATAAGTGGCTAGCAAAAAATAAATCAAGTGCTCTTCAAATATTTGAAATTCAATACATCTGTTTTGTCCAGATCAACCAATAATTCACACAATACAGTACTGATAATATAGTACTATAGTAACTTGTACACATAGTCACAGTATGCACGCTTGACACGGTTCACATTTTCATATATAATCTTTTTTAATTGCATTGTTTTTTACCACATGGATATAAAAGATACACTAGGCCCTCGAAAACATAACTAACAGGATTTCAATTCAAGTCTACTAGTTTGTTGGTAGACAGAGGATGATTCACTCAATGGAAATCTCAGGCCTTTCAAATGCTTCAGCGTAGCTCAGTAACCCAGACATGGCAAAGTAAATGTCAGGAGTTTTCTTCAAAAACTGTGATCAGAATGTGAGAAGTGAAGGGTTGAACCTGGATAGTCTTTTAATATTTTACAGACTTGGCACATTTGGGTATTCACTTAATCTAACTTATATTACATCGCTGCCATTGTTCTTCATCAGTGAAGTACAAATGAAATATCAGGTTTATACAAGAGAATAACTGGCTGTTACAGGCCCACAGAGAAAAAAAAATATTGTAGGAGGCATTGTTTTACCTGAAATATTAAATTTTTCATGTGATAGAAATGTTTATATTGTCATTAGAAGTACACTGAGATTTTTCAAGATCACAATAATTCAAACTTATTGTTGATGACTAAAAAAAAAACTGTTCTTCAGTTAATCAAGGTTGTTTAAATCAAAGGTGGTGTTTACCTTCAAGGTGTAAAAAAAAAAAAAAAAAAAAAAAAAAAAAAGGCAAGGATTGGTTCCTTCTGTCTATTGTGTAGATTCATTTGTTAAAGGGTGAAACATTTCAATAGCCAAACACTTTGTCAAACCACTGGCCTTGGCAGGAACAGGAGCGTGTGCTGGCCATGCTACAGTGTGTGTGTTTAAAACACAGCACGTAGGAAAACATCAGAAGGATAATGTAGGACACAAAAACTGATGCCCATCTGGCTGAAAATTTCACCCACTAAATGGCAGAGATTGACACCAGCACAACAAAGTAATGTGCCATATTAGAGGAAAAGATGGCAGAAGGGGAAAGTAGAAAAGCGAACCAGAGATGGGTTAGAAGTACCACAAAACTTTGGTCCTTGTTCATTTTTGCCATCATTGCCATTAGATTCTCTGACAGCAGTAGCATCAGAAACACTTGCACATTTCCAACACGTTCTGTGAAGATCCTGATGGCAATGAAAATAGACAATTTTGCTAAAAAAGAAAACGCAAATATATTTTTGACAATATTTTTTCCATATACCCCACACTCTTATCCATATTCACTGTAAACAAAAAAATAACTATATCCTATTTTTAATTGTTTCCTGTCGCTTAAAGTATACTATGCAGTATAGAACTAACAATGGACTAGACATAATAACACCTGAAGATAAATCCAATCAGTCGAACATGTGGGAGGTTAGTTTTTAGCCTAAAAATATCAGGAATTGTAACACGAAGAAAGTATGTGTATTAGCTCTGAACTAGGTGCCATTTTCAAGTGGGTCAGCAAATGGCCACTCAAAATTTAAGTCAGTAGATTATTTTTAGTGGAGGCTTGCCACACCTCTTAGAAAGCAGCATTATGTTGTCCACAAAGCCAAAATAGTTCATGAGACCAAAAGGTCTGCAACATTCATATTTTTTGTGTCGTTATGGAGAACCAGAATCTGCAACACGCACCTGGGACATCAGTGAAACCTACATCCTGTATATGTATAAATCAGTGGTTCAGAGGAGTAGCACTTTGACTTGTCTTGTTTTAGTAACACCGACAAGCCTGCCCAGCAAAAGTAAATTCTGGTTCAGTATAAATTGCCAAGTACACTAGAGAGTGGTTCCCCTGGTTTTCCAAGAGCCTGAGGGAAGTTTCCCATGTCTCTAAGGCCTGGGAAAATGGGTGCTGGTTAGTTTTAATCTTGCAGCTGATTACAAAGTAAAGTACAATTTCACAAATGTTTGAGAGGCCACATGGGCCATTTTATGAAAACATCAGTTTTCACACAGTGTCTTCAGCTCTATTTTAGTTTTATCTGATATGGACAAAAGTACCCATAAGTAGTCCCCTGTGCATAAGCTTGTTATACTGGGTTAAACCAGAAACATGGGGCAAGTAGCAGTTTGATGTCATTACTGCAGGATTCAATATACACAATACACTCCAGTCCAGGAACTGAATAGACAAGATTAGATACAGATAACTGATTGATGAGGTAGTGCTAATTAATGATGGTCAATTCTGACTACTATGTTGACAATGCATGGTTGCTATTTTAGCTGCCATTGCAAACCTATTTGATTACAAAATTTGACTATAAAATTAAATAAGCAAGTGCGAATCATGCCAAATCCACTGTGGTGGTGTTCTTGCACTGAAATGTGCAAGAACACTACTTTCAATTCAGCAGTACATAAATGACTGAATTTCCTTTGGGTCCTTGCAAGGCAGGTGAACCACTCTTAAGCCTGGGGTAGGTTTTTTCCAAGGCTTTCACATACAGAGACATACAAGTGCTCTCTGCCTGTCATCCTGGCACTATTCTTTACTGCATACATGCATTAATGTGTACTTCATAAATCTATTGTAGCATAAATGTAGTGCAGGTGTCGTTTACACTCAACTTCAGTAGTGCCTGAATTCTGCATCTAGGCTAAATAAAGGACGTTACACCAGCGTTACACCCACGCAACTTGTGTCCAATGCTCACGTCTCCAATTGTGTAAATTCCTGGAATAATATTAGACATTTGGTCAGATCTTGCAAGTCTTGCTGTTGTGATGCGGAGGTGCTGCAGGTACTGGTTCTCTATGGTGCCGTCGTCAGTCTTGGACCGTTGCACTGCAGTGCGTACTGTAGATGACTTACTCACACAGAGGCACACATCACAGTTACAGTGGCAATACAACTGAGCTGTACTGTAGGGGCTGTGTCAAACAATGAGCCTCCAGAGCCTGAGATTAAGTGTGGGCGGGTCCAGTGTCCAGTGAGACAAAGCCAAATACATCCATAACTCCAGCAACTGTGTGAGTTTGTCAGTGTATGTGTGTCAAACAATATGAGAACGTATTGAGTTTGGTAATGTATAAACGTAATTATTTGTTAATGAAGGCCCACTGTACCTGTAACAAATCTGTATTTAGATATATTTAATATATTCAAACTGAAACATGGAAATTGTAATAAAATTATAGCAGATTTTTTTTTTAATAATTCACAAAATGATTTGACATTTTCACATTTTCCACTGCTTTATTGTCCTTTTTCTATTTCAGCCAGATACATTATGTCAGTATGTGTGCCATCTAAAGCCAGGCTGGTTTTCCCAACATGCCAGTGTCCCACAAAACCTTCATACCCTCAAGTAAAATCCTTTTTTCTTTTTTCAATAATCAAGGGAAAAAAAGGTAGATTTTTCATTGACACTATTGTAATTTTTTCATTCTACATCACATTTTGAATGATTTTCATTAACAATGTATTTATGAAACATTTTCCTCAACTGAATGAGCATGACACTGTCAGTTTTTTTTTTTTTTTAATAAATAAAGTTGCTTAACATATGTTTTTTGCAGGACATTGTTATAAACTGTCTTGCTGCCAAGATCAACTTCATCCCCACTGGCTTACAGTACAGTGGGTCTAAGCTGATGGGAAACTGGTCCCTATTGGTTTAACATTAGCCTGGTTTTAACAGCAGAAACAAACATGGTTGATGCTTGTCATCCGTGTCCAGGGTCTTCAAAAACAAACAAAAAAAAGCTCCTAGAATGGATGCACATAACTCACTCCCACTGATCTTCAATCTATACAGCTTCATCCACATGAGA